ATAATCACTGGGTCTTATAGAAGAATACTTAATCAACAGTGTTTTACAGCACGCTTTACAGTTTGGAGCATGTCTTTAAATATTTCAGCTGTGTTATCTTCCTCTATCCATGAATACATTATAGGCAACTGCCATGTCTCAAAAGCACCTATTATGGGGTTGAAAAGTTGGAGCTGCTGGTTCTGGAAACATTTTGCACAAATCTATTTTCAATGTTTACTTCTTCATTTTGTCAACAAAAGGTAAAGTTTTTTGTTACATTCACTAAGCAATGCTCTTTTGGAGTGAAGGACCATTAAAAATAAGAAAAATCCAAGGTGCCCTCAGTCTTGAGCATTAATAACAAGCTTTTAATATGAGTCTTCTAAACAATCTGACAATACCATAATGGTCGTCAGTGTTAATTGTTTAAATTTGTTTATCAGAAATCATGATTTTTTTTCTGCGGTATGGTGGGTGGTTGTGAAAACCAGAATCAAACTGAGTCTCTGCTACTGTCACTATGGGGAAGAAGACATTTAGTTTAGCCATTAGTTCATTTTGTCAGTGCAATTGGGAAACAAATTAATCTAAAATTGACCCCTAATCCATAAGTGAATGATTCAATTTCCCCAAGGGGATGAATAAAGTAGTTCTTGTTTCTACAAAGCATAACCATTAGCTTCCACTCGCTCTTCTGACACCACTAATAACAGAATTTTCTCACAAAATTCTCGTTGGGAGTTGTAGTTGACCTGTTAACTAGGTTTTATGTCTTGCACCTTTAGCTTTCTATGAATGAACCAGACATTTTAAAACACAGTTACTCATCTGTTGTTCAGCCTGGAGAATTTAATACCCATCCAAGTCCTGGAAGTGGTCCAACTGAACCAAACATGGTCTACGCCAGATATAACTCTTACTTTCATAATCCTGAATGTCTAATGACAAAATAACTCCTCTCACTTTATAAAGCCACAGTTCTAACCTTGAGCCCCTTATTTTACCTTGACTGTCACCAACCGTGATGCTGTGGATCAAGTGAAAATCTGTGAATTCATGCATACATTACTGCTTTCTCCCTTTGTGTTCAGCACATTGTTCCCTGTGTCACCTTTTACTCCTCATACTGTATGAGTCACCAACAGCTGCCTTATAGTTGTGTTTTAGAAAGGTTTATGGATCAGTATTGGCAGACTCCCATGAGTCCATGATGAGCACTTTCTCACTGAACGACTGCCGGGCACTGATCTACCAAGAGTATAAATAATGTAATGTATCCCATAAGGTTACCTCACATTGATTTTAGAGGACAAAATATTTTCATACAGCCTCTGTTCCCTGAGACAAATTGAGTGCAAGCTGGATACATAGCTCAATGTTTTCCCTTCACAAGTCAGATGGACATTAGATATGGCAGCAATGCAGTCGATTAGTGCTGAAACATCAGCGTTGTTTAGGAATGTTAAACAAGGTCTTGACATCAATGTGATGGATTAAGAGGAAGGGCCAATAATAAGGGGGTGTCATCACCCTGGCAATGAATACATTACTGTCAGTGGCTTGAATAAAAGGAGGCAGGTTGTTTGTAACAGTCAGCCAAAGATCCTTTCCATTGACTTGAAGATAAGACATTATCTCTTGTAAACAGAGATATGCTTAGAAAAATTACACAAAATGTACAAAAGGAATCCTGATGCAGGATGTAGAGACTGTAAGTTTTCCGGTGATTTAATCTCGCGATTAGTTCGGTAAGAAGGACAGACTCCAAGGCCAACACGAACAGCAGGCTGAAGTGCTGTGTTTATGGCGTTATTGGACATCTGTCAGAGATGTTATTGAAGCTCTACAGGGAAACAGCAAAAATTCTGACATTTTGGCACAGTGCAATATATTAACAGGAAGTCAGTTCATGCATATTCAAAAACCTCGTTCTGCTGCTTTGATCCTGCACAGGGCAGAGCCAACAAATGGACTAACAAACAGCCCGGCCTTGTGAGGGATACACACCTAAAGAACATTTAATCTCCCTAAGCCACTGGACGCTGACGCTGGCTCATCACACACCAAACTGCCTAACCCGAGAGATCTCTCAGACGAATCATCTTAAACTTAAAATCTTTAAAAAAACATCCTTAAGCTAAGCGGTTCTCAGGCTCATCCCTCTTTATGCGGGCAAGGTGAGGGCTCTGCTGTGTTAGTTTGTCAGCTTGAAAAAAAGAATGGTGGTGGAGGACTGTGTGGCTGTGTTTGGTTTGGTCAGTCACCTGACTGCTAGACTGGCCTCTGGGAACAGGAAGTATGACATCACTGCTCTGACATTCAGGAATGTGGGAATGTCAGGCTGCCTGTTCACACTACTGGAACGAAGCAGAGCAAGCAGGATGGACACAACAGATAACTCACTGTAGCGTGAGTTATTCCAGCAATAAAGAGGCTAAGGCCGTTTTTAGACCTGTCGTGTAAAACAATGTTACCCCCCATTTTAGGGGGCCACACCATTGACACAGGATCCTCCAACCATGGGGATAACTTTCTTGAGTTGTAAAATCCCTTCTCACAATATCATATACCATTGTAGTTTGGCTATCTCATCAGTTTTCAATCCAAGTGGCAACATCCCATGTTTACAGCCTGGTACAAAAAAAAAAAAAAAATATATATATATATAGCTAATTTCCGCATTCATTACAACTGTACAGGAATCTTTGCATGAAACACCTGTTTCTTTCGTTAATTACATTACTCCCACGCTCCACGTCTCTGCTCATTGTTGGATTAGCAAGGAGCCAGCAAAGTCAGGGTTACCAAGATGGCGATGGCCAGAGCCAACCACACTGAGCTTCACAACAGTTCTTCAGAAACCTATGTATGACTTTGTGGAGACTATGTCCATTTTTATTTATACGGTCTATGCTTCAAACACATTCATCTGTTACTCAAATAATACTTCCTACTTTGTATTTTATTGTCTCACTGGTACCTTAAAAAACATACACCCAACAAATTTTTCATTTTTGAAAAACGAGGCTGTTTTTGCTCTGAATGCACTCTAAGGGTGGACAAACTGACACATCCGATTCAGATACTGCAGTTCCTTCACCAGTCTCACAGGCCAAGAAAAGATACCCAGTTGGGTAGCTTCATATTGGGACATACTCACTTCAACAGCACACTAGTGTAAACTGTGATGCAAGCTTCCCTTCCTGCCTGCTTTTTGTGTATTAAAAAGTATATCCACTACACAGCAGATGAGGGCTAAATCAACCCTGGTCTTCCTTGAGATCTTAATGTTAATGAGAGCAGAGGAAAAAAAGGATCCGCAGTGACAGTTTCTATTTCTCTCTCATAACTTTCAGCCATCATTGTTGTGATTTAGTCCACTGTGTGCTGCCCACCTTATGTCACATACTGGTTAACTGTCCCCACTGTTGACGTGCTTAAAGCAGCAATTTCACTTCCATAAAATTGGGGGACTTGCAAGACACATTTTAAAAATGAATGGCCAAAACCAGAGCAGCAAACGTATGTATGGATCAAACTCCTATCCTTTATTTCCCATAACGTAACTTGACATCATTATAACATCAGTGCTATTTTCTCACAAGACCATGTGTGAAACTGGCAGAGTGACCCTTTAATTGCATCTTGAGAGTGCATTGCATTAATTCCGGAGAACGTGCACAACTAAGGCGCCGAGGGAACACGGGATAAGCCCTGATAGCCGTGATTCACATGCCAAAGGCGTAGTTAAAACAATCAGCACTCTAAAACCCCATTTTACATAGATCAGCCTTTAGGACCAGCAGTGGAAATGAGGAATCACCTGCTGCTGAACTACATTTAATGGACACTGACAGCAAGCTGCTTGCTAGTGTATGATCTCAATAACCTCCAAGCTTCTAAACATATCCAAGTCAAATGCAGAACATGCACACACCCTGAGGCCAGGGACTTTTTCAGAGGCCTTTTCACTATATCAGCAAGCCAAACTTTCTATACGTCCAGGCTGAAAAGATGAATCTGTTACGTTATCCTATATTCTGCTGTAAGCTTTAAGATTTTCATGGCTAATTAGTTGCTCAGTACAGTGATTTAGTCATGTGGTATTTGTTGTTCAGTTCACACATCAGGGCAACACGCAAACAAGATCACGGGGACTTTCCGGCTTACACTGTTGTTCCAAACATTACAAAATAAAACTCATCATTAATGAATCCAAGATGTCAGCTGTATAAAAGTAGTAAGAAGGTTTAATTAGACACAGGCCGTCGTTTTACACAAGCTGAAGCAAACAGAAAATAGCTATAAAGATAACAATTGTGAACAAGAGTAGACAACAACTATAAAACTGTGTCTATCATTCATAGTGTTTACGTAAGTGATATTAGAAAGCATGTGATTTCAGGACATGAAGCCAAAACTTCAACATTTGAATGAGCAGAATGAGCAGTCCCATGAAAACTTCAGTTTAAAGCTCATTCCTCATTCATCACATCTCTTTCCCAGCTAAGCGATGGTGCCATGGTGTCGCCAGTCCCAGTCTAAGATGTTGGCATACAGTTCCTGGGCCCAAAGCTTGGTTTGAGACTCCTTGCCAGACCTGGGAAGAGACCAGAGAAGGAGCCAGAGCTGGAGGGAACGCAGCCCCAGAGGAGCCCAGCTGCTGCCTGGGAAACTCAACCCAGGACCGGCTCTGGCCCACGCTCTCTAACCCCAACCCCTCCCGTCCAATAACAACACTTAGTCTGCCTCTTGTTCTCTTTCTTTTCAGTCTGCTTTTAAATCTTTCCACTGTCACTCTGGTGTGGATTTTGGGGAAAAATAAGTCAGTGGAAGAATAGTGGAATGATATTAGTCAACCCGCTGCACATTCCCTGAATACTTCCCACTGTTGATTTCAAAACACTCACACATGTTCATGTTCTCACTCTCACACACGGAGAGGCAGGGGATTAGGCGTGAGTGCACACACATCCTCACACACACTTTCACATACATGCACATGCTGTGACACTCACCCCGGTAGTGGAGGCTGTCATCATGGTGGTTGTGCTGGTGGTGGTTCTCCAAGGCAGGGGGGCTGCTGGCACCCAGCTCTGCCAGTCTGCGGCTGGTGGCAGAGAGCTCGGAGCGGAGGTTGGTCACTTCCTGACTGGCGGACTTGATGGCCCCATCAATCCTCTGTGCCAGCTGTTTGTTGTCTTCCATCATTTTAAGGATTTTCCCCTGAGGACCAAATCCACACAGAGCAGCATGATGTCAAGTGGAGCATTAGAGGGGGTGAAGCTAAGACCCCTTCCTCTTCTTCTTCTTATCCTCCTCTTCCACCTGTGCTTCTTCTCTCAGTTTACTTCGCACATATAAAAAAAAAAGAAAGAAGCCAAAACGCCGGTCCCTGTTCTGCTCTCCTCTGAGCAGCACAGAGATGATGTCTACCTGTTACTGCATAAAGAATAATGTCTGTGTGGCCAAGCACTACACAGTCAGAGAAAGCATGTGTGTGTGTGTGTGTGTGTGTGTGTGTGTGTGTGTGTGTGTGTGTGAGTCAGTGCAGGGCAAAGGAGAACGAGAGTGAGCGCGGGAGAAAGAGAGAGGGAAGAAGAGAGAACGCAAAGAGAGCACAGAGACAGAGAGAGAGAGAGAGAGAGAGAAAAAAAGACAGAGGAGAAAAAGAGATGCAGCTCAGCAGGCGGAGGGGAAAGTGAGTGCTCCCGCCGAGGAGAATGTGCTGTGAGCAGCTGCTCTCAGAGAGGACCCAGCACACACTGAGATGACATGCAGCCTTTTAAATGGATTGTACCATGTGCTGGAGGACCAGGGGAGATGGAGGGGGGACGCAGTTGGACTGAGCTGCTCTCCAGCAACTCTCTAACTACAGAGTGTGTTGTGTATCCCACACCCTATGGAGTCTGTAATGAGTTAGCAATCGGGTCTATAATAGGGGAAAAGTAGACAGATTGTTTCTATTTACTCCTTCCTCTCTCCGTGTCCCTGCACTCAGAGCTTGGCAGCAGTGTTGAACCCTTTGACAAGCACTTGTCAAGCCCTCTATATCTTTTCCCTCCTGCTCCCACATTCCCTTCCTCCCTCTCACTCACACACCCGCTGTCTCTTTGTCTCTCCCACCCCCTCTTTTTTCATTCCATTATATATTCATTTCTTTGTCCTGGGAAAGCTCACCCCCACATTGGTGGAAGGGGAAGGGGGCTGGCTCAAGGCGCCCAAGGGGAAAACATTTCAACTCTGAGAGCAAACTTAGCAGAGGACAGAGGCACAGCCCTCTAATGGGCTAAACACAAAGAGGAGAGGCCTGGAGAATTACAATCGAGCTGTGGCGAGAACATAGCGGAGCTTTACCTCTTTGATCAAAAACAGTTGGAAGGATTATATTTCAGTTTATCCATGGGCCCAGCAAACAAACACCATGGCCATCAGTTCTTATCTGTATACAGTTGTAAAATTCCATCACATACACAAAAGGTTAGAGATGGGGGGGATAGACCGTTCATCTTAACTTAAAACAGTCCCGGATATTGCTGAGCCATGACAACTTTGAATCTGCATTTGACATTTCATTTCCCAAGTAAGAAAACACATCCTGTATCTGGCAAGAAACTGAGGCAGATGAGTGATACATCACTCAGATGCTGTCATTCAAGGCTCTGGTGATAACGGCTCAATGCTCATTGGTATTCATACAATGGCAGAGAGAGACAAACAAAGATGGGACTGCAAGTGTGCGAGACTGATGAGAGAATGAGAGACACAACTTGTTGGTTGTGTCTCTGCTGCTCTATGAGGAAGTCCGTATGGTAACGGTGTTACAGATCAGATCATGACTTTCAGCCCATTAGTGTGGCCTTGGTGAATATTACAACTTTGGCCTATTTTCTAAGGTAAAGAATGATCTTGTGATCTCAACTGTCAGAGATAATAGTATTGAAAATTAAATATCTTTGGGTTTTGAACGGCTGTCACCTTGTAGAAAATTGTGAGGGCAATTTTTTACCTTTTGCTGATATTTTAGAGACAAAACGATTGTCAAAACATAAAATATTGTCAGCTTGCTAACATGCTCACAATGACAATGCTAACTTGTTAAGCAGGTACCGTATAATGTTTACCATGTTCATATTTATTTTAAATTTGCTAATATACACATAACACAACTTGTGATAGGGTACTGGGTGGCACTCCAACCATCTTCGAATTCACAATAAAATTATTACACTATTAGTTAATGTTCAATAATGTCCTTTGGCTATTTCTTTGGAAGTTGCATATTATCAATCTGTGCAGTGAGATTACAACTATGAAATCATACTATTCTACCACATTAACAAACCTAAAGTTTATTCATTTTATCTGATAAATATTAAACAATTGTTTATTAACTGGCCGGCAAAAGTGCCCCCGGGCAAAGTGAGTTAAGTATCCCTGCTTGAAGCTGAGGGGGATTTGTTTTGTGGGTCAGGAACCAAAGTATTTGACGAAAGAAATTCTGGTACAATGTTGGCACTTGATGAAAAGTCAGGAGATCATCAAAGTTCTTAGGATTCATCCTCTGGGCAACATGGATGTCTGCACCACATTTATTGTCAATCCATCCAGTGATTGTCGATGTATTTCACTAAAAGCCAGAAAAATGTCAGCCTGCTGGTGGCACTACATGGAAGATCAGGGAATTAACAAAGTCTGTAGCAGACCACAAATGTCTGCACCACACTGAATGGCAATCCATCCAATAGTTGTTAGACATTTCAGACCAACTGCCATCCCGAGACCCTAGAGGCACACTGTTAGCAAGGCTAACAATCATTAGTTGTAGCTGTAGATTTCATCCTATCATGCACAACTTCGACATACAGTATTATAACAGTGCTTATCTTGTTGCATGCCTCTGTTTCTTTCTCCTGCTTTCTCCATCTGTCTTTTTTCTGTCTCCAGCCTCCTCTTATCATATAATCTGTAACATCTATCAACATCTCCGCTGTTCAACTCACAGCAGATGAAACCCAAACAGCAAAATTAATATAGTTCCTAGAGAAGACTTCTTTACCAGTACTGGCATGTTTGATCACATGTTAGCAGATCATTATCACTGTCTAGACAGCCACATCCCTGTCCCCGATTAGTGTGCTGGCCCTGATTTGTTGCTGATGAGTAAAGGACAAATGTAGCACCGCCTGTAGCACAGGGCAGCGATGAGGGTCGTCTCCACTTCTTGCTTTATACAGAAGGGTCCCGTTATTCCAAAGCAACTGGTTTTCTTAAACAACATGACGGCGTCCTTTATAAGAAACCACAACCACAGTCTGCTTTGAGCTATGTGAGACAGGGCTTTCATACGCTCAACTGTGGAATGCGAGGAAATGAATGATTTTAAGGGTCAAGGGTCAGGATGTGTCCCAGATACACATCAATAACCAGACAAATACTATGTGATGCATAATTGTGTGTGTGTCCAAAACACACAAAGTCCTCCTCTGTCTCCACAAGTGGACTGAAAGCATGTACAGCATGGCCAAGGCGGAGACCTTAGACCAGTGCAGGAACTTGGTTGACTCCCTTAAATAACCAGTTCTCCCATCGGTGCTTCTATGGATTTGGTTCACTTTTCCAAACTTTACCGAGTGTTTGTGTTTTCAGTTTGCTCACTTGTTTGATGCTATTAATGGGAAGTTTAATTAAGTGTGCCGACGGTGCGCAGTTAAAAAGAGGTATTGATAAACAGTCACCATGACTGTCTGCCTGGGTTAATTGAATATCGACTAATCCTCCGCACACTGGAATGCTTTCCATTTTTTTCCCAATAGCAAAGTGATATAATGCCCTGCTCAACTATTTATACAAGTCTTATCAGGGGCCTGGGGAAAATATCCACTCCACTCTACTAAAGTTACTAATGTCTATCGAAAACTATGAGAAAAAGAAAGCTACACTGCATGTCAGGGTGTGTATAAGATAGTTATATGCGAATAGGAGGAGCTGGGTGGGTATCTGAGAGGAAGATCCAGCATAGGGCAAGAGAAAACCTGACTTTTAGACCTCAGTTATGTGTTGGTCCAGGGCTCTTCCCATGTAGCTGCCTGGTGGAACACACTGCAAGTTTAGAGGAGGACACCTCATCAGGAGTGATACAGGAGTGAAAAAGAGTTGCATTACATGAAGACATGGTTGCAGCTGGACTGAAGGGAAACTCTCATGAGTGAGCACATACTGCAGGGTATAAATGCAAAGTCACATCTCAAGCTGAGGTTCTCTGTAGCACAATGCCATAACAGTACTCCATCATTAATCCAATATTTATTCCAAGATAAAAGAATGGAGGCCAAAAAATGTGCCCTCGTCCACATCAACTCTTTAGTTGAAGGGGTAACACTTTAAACATTGAATGAATGGCTTATAACACACTATAATGTCATTGTAAGAAGATATAAGTGTTCATTAATATATTTGTCAACAACTATAGCTCAGCCAGTGGAGACTGGTGTATAAACGGCTGTGGCTCAGAGGCAGAGCAGGTTGTCCACTAATCGGAAGGTTGTTGGTTTGATTCCCAGCTCCTCCCGCCACATGTCAAATGAGTTAGATTCCATTTGCCATCACCGAGTGAATGTGTGTGAAAGGGCGAATGTGGCACGTAGTGTAAAAGCACTTTGAGTGGTCTGAAGACTAGAAAGTACAAGTCCATTTACTATTTAAACAGATAATGAACACCAACATGGGAAAACACTGTTGATAATATAAAATATGTCTTCATAGGAGAAGTTATAATTGTTGACTGTACATTAATAAACACTTGAAATGTCCTTATATCTACTTAGAATTACATTGTAATTTGGTATAATTTATTACATAAATTGGCTGGGTTAAAGTGTTACTATGTATCCTTTATTAGGGTGAAATTACAAGATATAGTGAAACAATATCATACATCATCAAACATTCTAAACATTTTATACTGCTCATATAGACGTATCAACCTGCATGATTTCTTTAGTTTTTTTGCCACTTGGAGGCAGCTGAACAAATTTTTCAAATTTTTTCAAAACCACCTTAAAAAGTTAATATGTGTAAGCAAATGGTGGGTCATGAAGCTTTGGATTTCAAAAAAAGATATTTTAAAAACTTTTTAATCTGTAATTGCTCTTGTGCAATAAATAGCCTACTTTTAATTTGATTTCCAAATGAAACGTCAGCGTTTATGATTAAGGCTGATAATGAAGCTGAAATTGAAATATTTGGGGTTCATTCCATGGTCAAATAATAACAGGCCTCTTCGCTTAATCGGCACTGAGAATGACAAAAATTCCTCCATGAGGCCCCTTCAACAGACAGAGTCATCTCTGGAGGGCTTTATTGCAGCACACTGCTAACATTATGGTTGTTTATATATTCCAGATAGATGTCCCAGCTTCCATATACAGTAGAGCTGCTCTGAATATAAACCTTCACAGACACCAGTTATGAATTTCTAAATCTCTGTGTGTCAAAATGTTCAGTCTGCTGGGTACTGAAACAAAACAGCAGGTTTCAGGACATTTTATTCTGGAAGGCTGTCTGGGTACACAGCAAACTGTCTGCCAACATCAAAGAGTACAACAGTTTGAAATCTTTACTTATAGGCAGGTTAATTTGCACCACATTTAGATTTTACTTTTGTCTGTTCACCATCAGTACACTGTGTGAAACAGTAAAAAAAAAATGCAGAAAAGTGCTGCATGAAAAAAATGACAGGAAGAGTTTGAGTTATCAAAGTTACAAAT